AATAAATGTATAAGAATGATAAATGTTAAAACACCTGTAACCAAACGATATGCTGTATGTGATGATGGGTTTTGTGTGTGTGTGTTTTTCTTTTTTGTTTTTGTTCTTTCATTGTTGTGTGTATGTGCTGTCTATGTAATAAAAAGGAAAATATATATATATAAAAAAAGAATAATTATGGACCAGCTTTGGACAAGTGAAAAGCTCTGGGTTCTCCAAGATGGTATGCAAATTTCTTCCATTTTTCATTTGCACAAGGACTCCAATCAGATCCATACACTATGCTTAATCATATTTTAATCATGCTTTGTTAAATAACCCACACTTGGTAGAGTTCAAGCCTTGTACTAAAGCAAAAAGAGATCAGATTGAACCCCCAACACAATGGGTTGAAGATCTTCGACACTAAATCCTTCCCCCACTAAATCTACCTTTTTTTATTCCTGCTTTTGATAGTGACGACTCCAATACACTGTACTATTTTCTTTAGCTTTAGAAAGTGAATGTGTGAAAGGGGCACATTCACTTCACACAAGAAAGGGAACATAGTTGGTGTTTTTGCTCTGGGAACTTCAAGACTCGTGGACTTCAACTCCTAGAATTCCCCAGCCAGGAACAAACACTGCAGTGAACAAGCCAGTGACCACCTTCTTATCAAGAGATGCCATTTCAACATTTGGTATAGGAGTTCCCCTTTGGTTTTCTGGTATATATGTGATCTCAGCTTTCCAAAGAAAGGGAGGAAAATGATTTCGCTTTGACATGATCAAAAAGTGGGCTGACTTTGCTGGTTCTTTTTAACTATCTACATTCTTTTAAAAAAAAATAGCGAGACTAATTATATCCCACTGACTTTTGACTGACCCAAAGGAGAATAGCGTACAGGTAGTCCTCAACTTGCGAACGCACCCAAAATTTCCATTGCTAAGCAAGACAGTTGTTAAGTTGTGCCCCCTTTTATGACCTTTTTGCCCCATTTGTTAAAGTGATTCACTGCAGTTGTTAAGTGAATTGTGTGGCTGTTAAGCAAATCTGGATACCCCCTCGTTGACTTTACTTGTCGGAAGCCGGCTGGGCAGGTCACAAAATCACATGACCCTGGGACCGTGCAGCTGTCATAAATACATGCCAGTTGTCAAGCGGCCAAATTTGATCAGGTGACTATAGGGATGCTACATTGCAAGTGTAAGCATACAGTATAAGTGTGAAAACTGGTCGTAAGTCACTTTTTTTCAATGCTGTTGTAACTTCCAACAGTCACTAAACAAATAATCATAAATCAAGGACACTGCAGTCCTTCTTTATAGCAGGGGCTCAGCCCTGCTTGGTTTCTTTTCTGCAGGGAGAACAGGGTCCTAGACGCTGTAATTGCTGATGGATGCAGACAGACGGACTTCCTTTTTTGCAAGACTGTTTATTCTGAGAAGCAGGGAGTCTTTTGTGGCTTCAGGCCCTCCCTTCCTTGTAAGTGCTCAGTCCCACATGTTCTCCTCACATTTACCCTTCTTTGAATTCTGATCTCCGAGTAGCCCTTCTGGTAACCTTTGGCCAGTCCAGCTCCAAAGGGGACTCCCAAAGTCCCTCCGTGAGAGAATAAAAACAAGAGAAGTGAACAGAGACCATGTTCAACATAACGAGCAGTCCTTTTAAGCTTTTGTTTTTGCTTATCTTTTTAATGCAAAGAAAACCCAAATAAAACAAATGGCGCTACCCGACTCCTGTAGGGTATTTCTTTTTTCTTTTTTTTAACTGCTGTTTTAAAACAATTCAACTGGTTTACCCTTCAAATCTTCCAACTCTGAATTCTAACTTCTTAAAATATGGAGAGGGAGACCGTAAGCACTGTGTTACGACCAGTAGGGAGATGGGGAAAGGAATCTTTCCCCCTCTCCCCCCCACTCCTTTCTCTTCCCTTAAGGAAGACACTCAAACAACCCACACACACATCCAGCCCGACAGAAACGGAGACCAGGCAGCCACATTGCTGAAGAGACTCCTGTAATCATTTCTTCCCCCCACAAAAAAATGATGACCATCAAACATACACACACAGACACACACACGCACACACACCTAAGCCAGCATGGTATGGTTTCCCAAAGTGCTGAGTAAACGGCAGGCATGCCCTGTTTGCTGAGCCCAATTCTCCCACTGTATACAGACATCCAGGCTTATTGGTTCTGTACTTAAGAGAGCAGGGGGTCATTGGGTGCTGCGTCTGCCCGCCGTATCAGTTCCTAGTTTCTCCCTGTATGTGCCTGCATGGGCATAAAGCGTAAGCATTTCCTAGAAATCATGTAACAACCAAGTGGAAAAGAAACCGCTGGAGAAAGTACAAAAGAGGAAGAGCCGAGAATCCAATTTTTGAAGCCACAAATGGGCAAACAACTTACGGATTTTTTTTTTTTTTTTTAGAAAAAAGAACACAAAGAAGGGTTGGTGACCTGATCAATCAGGTTGCTGTGTTTCTTCTGCGACTTCCCAAAAAAAGCAAAATGCTTGAAAAGTCTGAAACGGGACATGGAATCTCCCTTCCTAGGGGGAAGATGGAAGCTCTTGTTTTTAAGGTCATTACTCATCCAGTCGTTACATTTCCAGGAGCCGTCTTACTTTGTTTCTGAGACAGACAATCCCAAGAAGGATCGCTTCCAATCTGGGTCTACGGATTTGCTATCCTTCCTCACAGAGGGGTAACAGCAATGGCTTGTTTCCCCATAAAACCAGGCAGGGTAAAATCCTGACCTCTCTCCTTTTCCCACAAACCATCATCCCAGCCTGCCTGCTCTTTCCCCGCTAAAGAAAATGACTGTTTAAAAGTGATGATCAGCATTCCTGTGAACTTACCTGCAAGGCTGTAGAAAAGAAAAGAAAAAGGGGGGGAGGGTCAAACCAATATAAAAAGTAAGAGGTGAACAATCATTTTTAGCAAGGCCGGATGGCTTGCTGACTTAGTCCTCCAAGACTACGATCTCCACATTATGGACCTGATGCTGATGTTCATCAACCTCAGCCACCACCTTCTCCTCAGTCCTCAACTCTGTCCCCAAAATCACAGCTTTCCCCCCTGATTCTTCAGGATCGGCTTCTGGATCAGGCGCTGGGTCTATTTCTATGATTGTCTGTCCGTCCTCTGAAGTGCCTTCGACTGCCTGGATGGTGGAAGTCAGGCCAGACTCCATGGCCACCAGTTCCACGGGGTTGACCATGGTGGCCACATTAGCAAGTGTCCCGCTGTCCTGCATCGCTGCCGAGCTCAGCAGGGCTAAGCTCGAGGAGGGGTGAAGTGTCACGGTATCGGTTGAGCTGGTTTTGGAGGAAGAAACCACGGTGGCGTAGCGGAAAAGCTGGGAACCGGAGGGCAATGTGTGGACAGTTACCGGGCTGGAGCCCTGGCTGATCGTGGCCATTGGAATGTTGCTAACGGAAAACTGCTGTCCCATGGGTGCGAGGGTGATGGGCGAGATGACGGTGAATTGAGGTTGCTGGATGGGAGCCGAGGGGCTTAGAACTGTGGCTGAAGCTGGACGTTTTAACCGGGGCCTTTTGGGAGGCTTTGGAGTGTTGACGGGCATCAGGATCACATTCTGAATGGATGGGTCCCTGGCAATCTTCTTCTGGTCTTCTAGCTGGCGATCTAGTGCTGCAAGGATTTATGGCATAGTCTAGTCAAGGAAATGCTTTGGAAATTATCACACAAGCAGCACAAAAGACAAGAGGCAGGAAAACAATTTCTAGGTATAACATTCAGTTGTTTCTCCTGTGCCAAAAGAACAGAACAATGGATGGGAATAGCAAGAGCACCCAGACTTATATACCTCTTCACAGTGCTTTACAGCCCTCTCTAAGTGGTTTACAGAGTCAGCCTGTTGCCCCCAACAACCTGGGTCCTTATTTTACCAACCTCGGAAGGATGGAAGGTTGAGTCAACCTTGAGCCTGGTGATTAATGAATCTATTCCTCCATTTCTTCAATGTTAGTGTAACTCTTGAGCCTGGGGAGATTCGAACCACCAAACTGCAGTCAGCTGGCAGTCAGCAGAAGTAGCCTGCAGTACTGCACTCCAACCACAGCGCCACCACAGCTCATAGCTGTCTCGTGAGGATAACTCCAATTATTTAGAGAACACACACACAAAAAAAATAACCTGGGATGCAGAGGAGAAACTAATTTACCTCTCCAAGTACTGCTTAACCCCATCTCAGAGCTGCAGACAACAGCAGCTTTAAAATTAAAATGGCATCATTTGCAAGTTTTCAAACCTCTAACGTATACTAAAAACGCCAAAAATATTACAGCAAAAATGCTGGTCAGAATATAGTTAATGCCTCTTGGGAAGAGGGAAAAATGTATTGTCCCAAAGGTGCTTTTCTTTGGGACCATTTGATGGTTGCACCATTGGGACAACCATCACCTGGATGATTGAGAATCGCCACAGACATAAAAGTGTATTCAATGTGACTAATATCATACTTTTTGGTAATTGTAAGGAATTTGCTGTATTTAAGATAAGGAAAATACAAGAGGCGGAGGATGGGAGGGGGGAGAGGAAGAGGAAGAAAAAGAGGAAAAATGAGGAGGAGAACGCATGTTATACAAAAATGCTTAATTTAGACAGGGGTGTCAAACTGGTGGTCCGCAGGCCAGATGCATCATGCACAGGCCACGCCCACCCTAGCTCTGCGAATGGGGAGAATGTCATGTGACGGCGTGACATGGCGAGTTTGACACTCGTGATTTAGGGCCAACTGACCATTAGCTGCAGGAGTACAATGTATGTGCTTTAATCTTAATGAAGTCTGGAGTGTTTACCCTCCTGAAAATAGCAAACTAGAGGGAATATGAATGTACTACAGCAGTGTTTCCCAAACTTGGCAACTTGAAGATGTCCGGACTTCAACTCCCAGAATTCCCCAGCCAGCGAATGCAAGTTGCCAAGTTTGGGAAACACTGTACTACAGCAACCAAGGCGTATTTCTTGCACAATTAATTGATGAGTTAAGAAAGTTCCAATTTCAAAATTACCTGCCAAAGTGTTAAGAAATTGCTCCTCTCCCTGGTCTGTTTGACTCTTCCTGTTATCCAGCACCCTCTTCACTGTGTCCATCAGACCAAAAGTGTGAGCGACATTATTTAGAACAGCAGCATCTACAGGAAGACATTCACAGATATTGACTAATATTCTAAATGGGATCCAACTCCCAGGCAGGACGACCTGAGCTATTCCTTGTTTGCCCATGCAGGATTACTTAACCCTTTGGTAGCACTTGCTCTCTTGATTATGCAAGATGCACTTACAACAGCCATGGAAACTGACATGAAGAAGAAAGTATTTAACAATTGAAAAAAAAGATTAAGAAAATAATACTATTTCCCTGAATTTTAAGCAACCTCCTTGCTCAAGAATTCCAAAGCAGGAATTGTTCTATCCAATTTAGTTTGCAAGTGACAGTGTACGTGAGACTACCTCAGAAGTTTTATAGTCGACAAGTACCAAATGTATTATTATGTAAAATGCATGAGAAATTTTGCAGAAAATAATACATATAGAACACGCTGAAGTATATTTTTCTCCTTTAGCCTCAGGGGTAGACCATCCTGTCATCACTAGTGATATATTTTCAGGATCAGGAAGACGCCCCTTTCTCTTATAATTATTTCTATTACTGTTGTTGTTGTTGTTATATCATCATCAGCTTTGTCATCTGACTAGTCTAGTCTGCTTTCTTGCAGACAGTTCACGACCCAAACTACCCCTAGCACTGATGATATTACCTAGTTTGGGTCGTGAAAGGTCTGCAAGAAAACAAGCAAGCTCAGAGAGTACCAAAGACCCTGCATGTCAACTCTGAGCTACAAATATTCTCCTTTATGCTTTATAGAAGTTTATTTTTCCAATACTTCTAGTTTTATTCATCCCTGAAGCTGATTGGAAACTAAGGGAGTTATGATAAACATTTAGACAATGAAAACATTTCTGGAAAAAGATGATTTACAACTTCGATGGATTTTAATTGGTTTTGGCGTTTTCCTGTTAACGTTCACTATTTTTGATTATTTTAGGATTGCATTGCATTTCGAGATTGCTACTCATAAGAAAATTATCATTGGAGAGTAGTTAATAAAATGACAAAACAAGCACTATCAAGACATATAATTCACAAAGCATAAATACAAGTAGTTCTTGACTTATGACCACAATTGAGCCCAGCCTTTTTTTTTCTTTTTCTTTTTGCTCAATGAAACTTTGGTTGAGTGAATGTCCCCCTTTACAACTTTTTTTTTGCCACAGTTGTTAAGTGGATCATTGCAGTTAATAAGTTAGTAGCCCAGTTGTTAAATGAATCTGACTTCCCCATTGACCTTGCTTGCCAGAAGGTTGCAAAAGGTGATCACATGATCCTAGGACACTGCAACTGTCATAAATATGAACCAGTTGTCAAGCATCCAAACTCTGATCACATGACCGTGGGGATGTTGCAATGATCGTAAGTGTGAAAAACGCACATGTCACTTTTTTCAGTGATGTTATAACTTTGAACAGACATTCAATGAACTGTTATAAGTCGAGGACTACTTGTAAGGCAGGAAGCCTGCCCTAGTGGTTATCATTTCATATCAACATGGAGACTGCTGACCTCTTACCCACCGGTAATCTGGAAAGGGGATTGGGCAAGCCTTTGCTGTACCCCTCTTAGCACCTCCTCTATCTCCTTCTGAATATTACAGACCACTTCTTCCATCAAGCCCACATCAGCAATGCCTTTCCAAAACATCAGCATCTCCTCTGCCATGGAAAGATAAAACATTTTTAAAGAAAAAAAAAACTGTTTGGCAATTATACAGCAACATATCTACTCCTGGGACCAGCAAACTACTATACTTGATCAAGCACTTTAAGGAATGGATTGCTAACTTGTTGATCCAACCTATACACTCTTACTTGGAAGTATCATTGAACTAAAAGGCACCCACTTGAGATATAACCTAGACCAGTGTTTCTCAACCTTGGCTAACTGAAGGTGTGTGGACTTCAACCCCCAGAATTCCCCAGCTAGAATTCTGAGAGTTGAAATCAGACATCGCCATGGAGTCATGGAAGAGAACACTGATGTAGACTGTTCATTGACCACTTAAAAAATTATGCTTGCAGCACATGTGTGCTCACAAACAGTTGCAACAGGCTGAAAACAGCTTCCAGAGCATGTCAAGTAAAACACTAGAAGCCTTTTGTCTTTTGTCATGTGTAAACAATCAAAGGATCGTGCAAGGAAGGTACATGCCATTGCTGATGAGTCAAGTTTAGAACCAGTTTTCCTCCAAATTGGCACCCTACAGAAAGACTAAGGATGCAACCATTGCTGACAAAAGTTTGCTTCTCTTACTCCACTTCCTCTCCTTTCCAAAGTGTGCAGAGGAAATGAAAAAAAAGTATGCAAGCAGTACAGAGAAACGGGAAGGACCAACCTGATATCTCCTCTGGGTCTTTCTTGATTCCCTCATCGGTTGCCATAGTGACTGCTGCTGTCATAGCAGAATTCCATTCAATCCCTTCTTCTACACTTTCCTCAGACACTGCAATTTGGGTGATGCTTCCTGCACAAGAGGAGACCAGTCTGATACTCTGCTGCCACAGTACTTCCTCACCCACCCACACATCTAGATGATATATCAGGATAAGTCCTGTTAAGCCAACTATTCATCTGTAAATCTATGATATGACATGATGATAGGGTTTACACCCTATGTTAAGCCATACACCATAATTTCCAAATCGCAATGGCTGGGACATACAAAATGCAGCTGAAAGCAAACAAAGCACATTAGGTCTTAGCATTGTGCGTGAATTCAGGCCTTCCAGTTAACAGCTTTGCCCATTTGACACTCTTATGTGGGGACATCAGATTCTCAGCCAGCATGGTCTCAATGCTGGCTGGACATTTTGAGAATTGCTCTTTCAAGGTGCCACATTGGGCAGGTGAAGCAAGGTTGCTTTGGGCTGATCAACGTATCCTTGGGGACTGGCACAATAAAGCCATTGCTTTTGAAATGTTACGTAAACTCTGTAGCTGCTGCAATGAATGAAGAAACATTTGGGTGTAACTACCACATTGGTACACTATACATTTGTGTCCTTCAATTCAATCCTGCCTGGGGAATTCTGAGAGTTTCAAGTCCAACCATCTTAAAGTGGTTGAGGTTGAAAGTCCCTGCTTTATAGAAATTGTCTTTTTCCTTTTAATGTTCAAAAGCCACACCTGACTTATGCCAATATTTGTCATGTGTGGCTTCGCCTTATACATTAAACGTATGCTCTAAATCAGGGGTGTCAAACTGAAGGCCCACGGGCCGGATCCAGCCCTCAGGGTGCTTAGATCTGGCCATAGGGAGACCCTAGAAACAGCAAAGAACCAGCCCATGGTGCCTCTACTAACGAAAGCAGAGCTGGGGAAGGCCATGCGCAGCCCCCACTCCTGGTTCCATTTTCCCTGGCAGAAGGCTGCAGGAGGCTGTCACAGGCGAAAACAGACATCAAACTGGCCACCCCCACCCTGGACAAATGGATGGACGGATGGACACACACACACTGAGGACAAGCACAACCCTGAGGCAGCCCTCAATGAAATCGAGTTTGACACCCCTGCTCTAATTAATTGAAGTAGCTGAACTAAAAAAAAAACACCTTTCTCACAAAAAGAAACAAAATGTGCAGTGGGAAGTAAGATGATATGTAAATCTCCCCCCCCCCACTCTATTTCAACTTACACTTAATTTAATCAAGGCAGGGTTTTAATAAGAAACAGACCTACCATCAGCAGAAGTGGGAGTCTGTACCAGGCTTGTTTGTCCTGGTACTGGGGCCCTGGCACTGCTGAACAGGAGATCAAACTTGGTGCTTCGGCAGGTGTTGGTGCACACTTTGTCATGCTGATAGAAATCAATTTGCCCAGAGTCCATCATCTTCCTACACAATGAATGGAAAACAGAACAGTCATCTGAGGGGGATGAAAATCAGTTCAAAGAATTGTCTTAAGAGGAAAATGTAAAAAAACAAAGCCTTTGGTGGCAATGCATCAAATGATGCTCAGTCCCATTTAGCTTATGCACAACAGCAGTTATATAGTTCAATCAGTGGTGGGATTCAGCAAGTTCGCAGCACTTCAGGAGAACCGGTTGTGAACTTTCTGAGCAGTTTGGTGAACTGGTTGTTGGAAGAAATCATTAGGGCAGGGAACCGGTTGTTAAATTATTTGAAAACCCACCACTGAATTTAATGGAAGGTTTAATATGAAGTGCATGTTCTGTGTCATAAAAAAATATCTTTATTTCCATCCAAATGTATTCTAGCAATATGGAAAGGAATAATAACTGCAATGATTGATTTAATGACTTTGGCAAGAAAGTTAGAAAAATGGGGCAAAACTCACTTAAATGTCTTGCTTAGCAACAGAAATTCGAGGCTTAATTGTAGTTGTAAGTTGAGGACTACCTGTACATGGCAAGGTTACCTCAGCATGATTCCTCCTAGGCGGATGGCTCGCTTCCAGTCCTTCAGCGTGGACTTGCCAGCCAGGTGAACAAAGTGCTTGGGGCTGATAAGCTGATCGTTGAACTATCAAAAGAGGAAGGAACCAATTATTTTTCTCATGGTAAGGACATAATGCAACCATTCAGTCTTCAAGGCAGCACCCACGATTCATGGATATATGTGATCAAGACACACTAGGACTTTGTTAATACAACCTGGGCTTTGTGATTCCAGGCTGACACTGTGCAATATGTAGAACTGCTTTGGGATAAAAATGAGGTGGATAAGTGGGAATTTATTTACCATCCAATTATATATTGTAGAACGGGACTCTCACAAGAAAAATATCTATTATGGCAGACATAACCTAATGTTCTTCCTATGGTGGTGTCCAAGTCCTTGTGGCAGGGGGGATGGATGCCTCTGTTCTGACCATTTTCATTTCATTTCATTTTAATTTATTTGTATGCCGCCCTTTTCCCTAAGGGGACTCAGGGCGGCTCCCAACTCAAAGGGAGGGAAAAACAAACAAAGTTACAGAAAACATAAAACCATACATAGTTTAAAAAAAAAAAAAAGCACAACAATCATACCATTCAAAGTGGAGCAGCGAGTCTTTAGCCCCAGGCCTGTCGGAACAGCCAGGTTTTAAGGGCTGTGTGGAAGGCCTGGAGGGTGGTGAGGGTACAAATCTCCACGGGGAGTTTGTTCCAGAGGGTCGGAGTAGCCACAGAG